AGCATCTCAAACACTAATTATAGCACAATATGTCACACTGTCGTCCCTAAATTCAATCGATAACTTTCAATTGACACTCTCTCATTTAATCTATTAATCAAATAATATTCACTTGGTTTTCAAGACATTGAATTCTCCACCCTCCAGACTGACTTAGCCTGTTCCTGAACAGGAACACAAAGAACAATGACATGACTTTGATGCAAAAAACAAACCACAAGAAAAAAGATTACAAACATTTTATTATTGGGTAAAAAGAGTACCATGCAACTGTCTCTTTTTCGGAAAAAAAAAAATTATCATTGCTCATTGCATGCATGAATGAATGCTTACCTTGAGGTCTTCATGATTTTTTCTTAGCAGTTCAAATTGTTGTCTAAGTTCTCTGTTTTCTTTCTTGAATCTTGTAATATCTGCATCCAGGGCCTGTGAATATTCAATTTTGTACTTATTGTAAATATTACTGGATTTGGGTATTAAAAAATAGTTTAATCTCATTTTCAATATTGTTAATAATGAGTTGCATAGACATTACTTGGCAATAAAACTTACTAACAGATAAATTGTGATCAAAAATAATAACTAATAGCACTATTTTCAATTGATTGCTCTCAATTAAGAAACTGGTATAAAATGCCATTTTGATATGTACAATTTTCCTGCACTTGAAACTAACAGTAACGTTACATAATGTAATTAGAGTAACAGAAAACACACCTTTCTTTCCACTGTTAGTGTAGCTAATTGAGAATCGGAGTTCACTGTTAAAATAAGTTGGAAACATTGGTTACACTTCACCACTGGCAAAGAACATATCAGAAGCTGCCATTTCACTCAAAATTAGACTAGCAATATTTTTTCCAGATTTGATTAAGACCCTCTACACATGTACAGCAACCAGTGGTCTGCAACCCAGTATGACCAATGTGTCAACATCCTAGATGACAACCCACAAGTGAAACACAAGAGAGTTTGCCTACAACCATGGCTTAGAGAAGGAAGTTACACTTCGAATGCTTGTTCATTTCAATAGGAGGATACAAAGAGAGAAAGTAACCCGCAGAAAGTATAGCCAGCAAACAAGAATTACTATAAACAGTCAAGTTTCATGTGGCATTATGCAGTTTCATATCTTGCCTAAATTAGATGTACAAATACTCTCCTCAAGCAATCAATCCCTCACTCATAAGATGGCTACGATGTAACTTACATATAGTGCCAGAGTCATTTTTTTATTTTAATATTATTATTGTTAACATGGAATTTGTGGGAGTTACCGGTAACTTTTAAAAACCCTATTCTCAACCCAAGAGCCTGAAGGTCTGTAGGTGCTCCAATCTAATGGTTTTAGTTTGATACATCAACCGGTTAATATTTTTTGGATATAAAGCCAGCGTTGAATTTATTTAGTGAACATCTTTGGCACAATAAGCAAATTAAATGATTCACATGTCTGAGTCCAAAGCCACCTTTTCCTTATGCCAAGGGCCTGCCAGCTATTAAAGACAGACAGTTCTGGGGACTAAAATGTCAAATAACTCTTCAGAGGAGGGTGGAGAGGGGGCAAAGGAAAGGCTAGACTTAAGCATACAGAGAGAAACATTGCCTTAGTCAAACTTGGTCATCTTACTTACGATATATAATTAGTACCTGCATCTTCCTGGAGTTGTGTAACAATTGCTTCTAATTGACCCTTAAGTCTGTTTGCCTTTTCACATTCCTCCCTAGCTAACACTGCCTCTCGCCGTAGGGTTTGACAGTCTTGTGCCAGTGTCTGTACATCACCCCGTCCTGATTCAACAATCTTCTCCATGTCAGATACTCTTTGAAGAAGTGAGAGGTGTGATTCTTCAAGACTTGATCGGAGTTCTTTTTCTCTGGTCAATTCCTCCTTCAGCTTAAAAGAGGAGAAAAATTACTCAGTCTTCTCCATGATCTCAAATCAAAACGAATTTTACAGATTATTACATGAAAGACTTGCCTTATATATTTGATTAACGCTGTGCTATCAATGTGCTCAGTCAAGTTTCAGGGCATGACACCTATTCCATTTGCCAAACTTGATTGATGCATGACCAAGGCATTCATGACTACTCAATCAAACGTTCCAATCAAGTTTCAACATAAGCCATTAACATATCCAGGCCCAGCTAGCATTTAGCAAGGATTGTACAGGTACCTGGAGCAGTATACCCTTTCACAAGCCACATAATTATAATCCCAGATTAGTGAGTCTATCGATATATTCAGGCTGCCAGCTCTGCCAAACNTCAGGACATGACACCTATTCCATTTGCCAAACTTGATTGAAGCATGACCAAGGCATTCATGACTACTCAAGCATTCCAATCAAGTTTCAACATAACCATTAACATATCCAGACCCAGCTAGCATTTAGCAAGGATTGTACAGGTACCTGGAGCAGTATACGTTTTCACAAGCCACATAATTATAATCCCAGATTAACGAGTCTATCAATATATTCAGGCTGCCAGCTCTGCCAAACTACACTTGGTACACATGCACTTCTTGAGCTTAGCATTGAATCATGCATATCTTGCACTTCTGCAGTGCCAAACCAGATCTACACATTTCCAGTGACTATGTGTCTCTTTGGCTAATCTGTCACTTCATCAGTTTGTCAGGCCTGCCATTAATTTTGGCAGATAACAACTCTTGTAGTTGAACATATGAATTCGAGCCTGCCTGGGCAATGCTGTGATAATGGTGAAGTTACTGTAAATGTACAGTATCAGTCACTTCGCTCCATGGTCAGATTGCTCCAAGCTGCTCCAAGTCAGTTCACTCCAATGCACATATTATTCCTTGTTCTTTCATCCACTGCCAAGCCAAACTTGGTTCCTTGCGTGGAGTGATCTAACTTCTGGTTGGAGTGACCTGATTTGGAGCGATCTGACCATGGAGTGAAATGACCGTAAAAAAATATATACTTGCAACTTATATTACATGTACAATAAAATCTATTAAGTTCATTACTGTGACTGGGTCTTACTCACTTCATTGTTTTTCTTGATTAATTTTTGCTTAGCCAGTTTAATCTCTTCTATTTTCAGTCTATTCTGTTCACCATTTTGAGAAGATTTGTCCACTTCCGAAGCAAGTCGCTTTACCATGTCCTGGGCTTCCTTCCGACCTTCCTCGCAAGTTTGCAGCTCTTTTTTATACCTCTGCACGTCCTTTTTAAGCTTTTTAATCTCGGCTTCGTACGTTTCTTTGGGTAAAGTCACTATTTCTGGCTCCTTATCAATCGTAGCAAGATTTTTCTCGGCTTCCAGACTGCACATCGCGAGTTTTAGTGACTGGATGGTGCTTTCAGCCCGGCAAACTCGCGAGACCATTTGTTCATAATTTCGCTGCAAAATCTCTATTTCAGGCGAAATCGATCCGCTAGCTTTGAATGGTTGAACCGGTTCTATCCGTCCGCTTTTGCTTCCTTCTAGATTCTCGGCGCGATCTCTGCTAAAGCCATATTCAGCAAGTTGGTCGACCAATTTTTTTGTTTCTTCTTCGGCCATTTGCAACCGTCGTTGCATGACTTCAAAGGTGTGTTGTGGCGAAGAACTTGAATGCAACGTTGGAGAAATGACTCTTCTACTCATTTTATCCCCTGACATTATTAAGTTGTTATAAATCAGTGATAAAGTTGACTTTCAACGTCCGTTGGTATTATATTTTGCCTGTTTGTTTTTTCAATGCGACATTTGCCCGTAATCCGCCATTTTGGAATTTCCGCCATTTTTCCCTCAGCTAACCAATCATAATTAGTACTTCAGAATCGACTGCTGACTGAAATGACTGACGACGCAGATACAGATCAGACTTGTTTTATTCAACTCCCTCAGTAGCTACTTTCTTTCCATTACTTTTATCCCATTTTCACAGTTTTAATGTCCTACCTACTTTTTTCCTGTGCCCCACCCTCCCCTCTGCCACTCTACAGTACATCCCTGTGAAATCCACTGGAATTTCTGGCAGGATGTATTCTCAAAAGCTTTATATAAAAAAAATAACTCTTGAAAGTTTTCTTCATAGTCAGGGTTGAAATGGAGTTTAAAAGAATGTCTAGGAGGTTCACAAATTATATTTTTCAATATACACACAAAATATTTGTTTTTAGATATTCTGGGACAATGAAGCCCTAGCTTGTATGTGTATTATATTATGTCTTTTTTGGTAAAAAGTACTTGACAAAGGAAGACAACACCAGTGCCATTGATGGTATAAATCAAGCCATTTGTTAGTGTGTTGAGTTTTTGATGCCCTGTAAAATTTGGGCTGAAAAATTCAACACTGTTACCACATGCAGCAACCATATACAGCAAGATGGCCATGACCACAATTTTCTTGTACTGACTAGGAAAATTACTCAATGTCAAAGTGAAGAAATTCAACCAAGTGCAGGTAGGGATAACTATGACTCTTTTAAGTTAGCTTAATGCCTCATCATCTAATTAGTGATGAAAAGGCCTCATGTGACACCTACATGTAATCATGGAAGAGAGGGGTGAAAGTGAAGATGAAAATCATGTTTTGGTATGGTGGAGTGTTCCCTTTCAACTCTTCAGTGTTGATGCATACATTTTATGGCATTTCATTATGAACCAGAATTTATTGCCGAAACTGAGACAAAACTTTTTATTATTATTTGAAGCATTGCTTTCGAACAACCAGTGTCACACTTCACTCAAAAAAACCCTGCATTGATACCTCTCAGAGATATAAATACAATTCAAACATGCCCAAGAATGAACTCTGGGCCATTTTAGGGTTTGACTTTTTTGACATGTCGGGCAAAGATCCCCAAAAATTTTATATGGAAGTCTTGAGGGATTGTGTATTGATAAGGAAGCTATTTTGCATCCATGAAACACCTTCAAGTCCATTAGCTTTCCTTAGCCTGCATTTGCTCCTTATCTATATCATGTCCTTCAGATTTCAGAGCATCTTTAACCCAGTCTGGTAAATCTGGATCCCATTGTTCTACAGACACTTTCATTGGCACTAGGACATTGTCCCTCACTGCTATGTTCACCTCAAAATCTCCAAAAGACGTGATGGGTCTGTCAAGTTTAACGCAGTGTACAGGAACAAAAAGCTCGAATTGTGATTCGAACTCTAACGCTATGTGATGCTCGTTAACTTCAAAAAATTCACTTCCTTCTTTGCGTTGAATTTTTAAATGAAGCCCATGCAGAAAGCTCAAAAATTCACTGTCCAGTGCGGCCTCGGGGTGATCTTTAGAGGTGTCCTTTCTGAGAAATTTTTCTTTATTATCTTCTGTTGCATAAACGGCCATTCCCAGACGAATTAACGTATTTCTGGCCAACCTGGGTTCGACTGACACCATTTGTCCCTTGCTTCCAAGCGTCTCGTGATTTTCTGTAAGAATGATATTCAACCATGGAACTTTGACATCAGGTAGTCTCTTCTTCGGCTGTCCTTTCTCAATTATCCATCTATCCGCTCTCATTTTGGCTATGGTTTTCTTCGACAATGGTGGCCTCTTTTTCACCATTCTTGCACACAGCTTGGAGACGTTTTGCACTTGCAGAATTTGCCGAGAAAAGCGCCACATCTTTAGGCTCTTATGTTTTGATCAACTATGAATCAAGCATGGCGCACGAGTTGATGAAAGAAGTATTCCGATTGGCTAATTTGGACGAATGACCAATGAAAACTGTCGTAAGATTTACGCTGATTGCTTTACCGCTGACCAAATAATCCTTTTATCCACAAACAACTCCACAAACGACAAACGTGTCAACAAGACTGGGAAATTCCGCAAAAGCCGGGCCTGTGGTGGAAGACTTCCTTTCTGCAAGAATGCTGTCACAACTGAAAGAATTTGGCTTAGGTGCCACAGCAGCTTGTGGTGCTTGCTTTTTCACAAATCCTCTAGAAGTTGTTAAAACGCGGATGCAGCTTCAGGGAGAGTTGAAGGCAAGAGGAACGTACGCGGTACATTACAAGAACGCCTTTCACGCTTTTTACACAATCGGTCGATTTGACGGCCTCAGATCTTTGCAAAGTGGACTCGCTCCCGCTCTAGTTTACCAAGCAGTGATGAATGGTTGTCGATTGGGATCTTACCAGGTTTTTACCAACTTAAAACTGACTGCAAACAGCGAGGGTCGAATCGAGTTTTGGCGGTGTCTTCTGGCCGGCGCTGTCTCTGGTGCCATTGGCGCGTTTTTGGGAAGCCCGGCTTATATGGTGAGCACCGAAACATCAAAAGTATCATGTATGTGGGCTTTTGGCTCTAGAGTTTACCGATTTATTTACTTTCAACAGCAAATTCCAAACTTTGACAAACGGCTGCAAAATCTAGTCACGAGATTATTGCGTGACTGCACATCGTAACGCCATTGAGATATTTTAGTGGGATATTTTTCTCCGGCTGATTTTTTTTGTTGTTGTGGTTTTTTTTTTTTTCAAACGTTAATTCCAGTAAGGTTTCGTCTTTTTTTTTTTTTTCTTTTGTTATTGTTTTTTTTTTCTTTTGTGACTTGCTTTACACTTTTTCCCCCCAGTTTTCTTATGTAGGAGTTTTTTCTCTGTGAGAAATCCTCAGGAGAAATGTAACGGTTCATTCCTAACTTGAACTGTCTACTCGGTGACACACAGATCTTCAGTCAAAGGAAAACAAACCTTTTTTTTGCCTCATTGAATCAAGGGTGTGCTACTAACCATCTTTTTTGCTTATCAGTTGTTTAATTTCAAGATAGTCTAACTGTACAACACAGTCTAACAGTACAACATCAATTTTGCTTCCTTTAACCTAGTCGTCCAAAAAATTGTAATGTTGAGCAGAAATTGTACAGATTTGTAGGTTTTTGAGATCATCAAATCTACATGTAGCATTCTAGGATTGGACCTCCTAATATACATTTTATATAAGACATTTTTTGTTTGTTTCCAAAAATGATTTGATATTTAAATCTCCAATAAGGTCAAGACCCAACTTCAAGCACAAGCAACAGACACTATCGCTGTCGGCTTTCAACACAAACACAGTGGCTTTGTCCAAGCATTATCAGGTATTTACAGAGAGTTCGGAGTTAAAGGACTCTGGCGAGGTGTCAGTGGTGCTGTTGCACGTGTCATGATTGGATCTGCTGTTCAGTTGTCAACTTTCTCAACCACTAGGGAAAGGATTGCAAAAACGAATTTCTTCCCTGAGAAAAGCTGGCTTATTCCAGCATCGGCTAGTATGATTAGCAGTGTTGCGGTGGTAACATGCATGACACCATTTGATGTAGTAAGTACTCGTTTATACAATCAAGGAACCAACGCTAGTGGTAAGGGACTCTTTTATAATGGCTTTGTGGACTGTTTTGTCAAAATATTTAAGCGAGAAGGTGTGATGGGGTTTTACAAGGGTGTTGGACCACATTACTTTAGAATTGGTCCACACACAATCCTTAGCTTACTCTTTTGGGATCAGCTAAGAATGTTATCTGCTTCTCATGGTTTTTAAGGAAGATTAAGGACCAAGCTTTAAAATTAAGTTATATATGTAAATAATTTGCATTTAAAATATGAAGGTGATTTTATATTATAATGTGGTATTTTGTAGTAATATTGTTAGAGTTAAAAGACAGTGTATACATACTAGATTAAATTATCTGATATGGCAATGAACATTCTATACTGAATGCAGTTCATTCTCAGAAAATCATTATGCAGAAATAAACTAACTGAAAGTAACACAGGCTTTGCAGTTACTTCTTATTTGACTTTTAAAATCTGCATAGAGAACAGCACAAATATGTCTTTTTGGCATAACATTATGACAAAGTTTTGCATGGTTGCTCCTTACTAACAGTATAAAAATATCAATACACTGTTATTTTGAAATTTGTGGGCCCAGCAAAAGGCTTTGTCCACAGGACAAACTTATAACTGGCCTTAAAGTAAATTTGTGACCACCAGAGGGGCAGATCCAGGATTTTTCTTAGGAGGGGTGGGCCACTAAGGAATAGTGTAACTGAGTTTTATATTTTTGCAGAATACCAGTTATATTAGGAAGCTGCATGTCATTTCAGTGGCGGGGGGGCGGGGATGCACCCCATGCACCCTCCCCCTAGAACTGCCCCTGCATCAATGAGGAGAATTAATATTTCAAACCCAGACCAAAAAGCTTAAGTGGAAAGGCTGTTTTAAAGTCTAGAACAACCAATTTTTCACAAGTTTGCATGGAATTTAATTCTGAGTTCAACAAATCAATCTATCATCTGACCTTTTCATGGTTTCTGGTGCCATTTTGCTTAACACATAGAATATCATATAGCAAGAAAATAAATTAAACTTAAATAAGCAAAAAAAATACTCAAAATAGTAAGAACTAAACGAGCTGCGTAGTTACAAGGATTATTATGCGTTAAATGGGTTGTAGGAAAAATAAAGAGAGGAGGAGGGAGAAAAGTTAAAAGTTCAATGCCCAATAAGTTGAGAGCGATTAACTTTCTGAGTATTTTATGAGTTACAAGGAAAAGATACTCATCAGAAGGTTTTTTTGGTCAAATTTGATGAGAATACATTTGCTGTGAGGCAAGGAATTGCACTTTTAATTTTTTCATAAACAAATGTATGGAAAAATAAAAACCTTAAGTGTGACTTTTTTAGCGTGGCTAAAATTCAGTGGAATGCAGTCAGTAAATTCTTTTGCCTGGTATCTCTAGTGTTTAATTCGTAAATACTTCAGAACTCG